ATACAATCAGTGACACATTAAGATAAGCACAACTTGGACACTGACCACCTGTGGTGGTAACTAGTCTATCACCCTTAAATCATTTGAATTAAATTGAAATCAAGAAGCAGTCCAGAACATGTCTGCAGTGAACAAACTTTTCAATATAGTATATTTACCATTTAATGGCTCAGACAGAGCGAGGATGCAAGACCCCTGATCTCAGTTAGCTGATTGCTGAACCCCAAGACGCTGACTGACCTCGGGCTGCAAGGCCCAGATTGAGTTCCCCATCCTTCTGAATGGTTGACCTCTGCAACGTTCTATTACAGGTTTCCCACACCCTTTCTTTAAAGATGTTCAAAGTTGGGAACTCAGAAAAATACCCTTGATGACCACCTCTGTCTTGGCAGAGTGGGTCCAAAGACTTGCACAGTCAGGAGGTCTGAGAGTGCGGGAGGCGGGGATTATGGGGGTTCAGGGGCGCCCGTGCGGCTACCTTCCCTGCGCTTGAGTGATGACTGCTTGGTCGGGAGCAGGCGTGGCTCTCCTTCCCGTGGTGGATCGGGGCCGGCCTACCTTCCTGGTGCTTGAGCGATGACTGCTGGGTCGGGAGCAGGCGTGGTTCTCCTCACTTCCAATCTTAAGATCCTTTATATCCTCTTTTTAGCTTCATAAACATCGAATAGCTTTGTTTTTTTCTTTTTCTTTTGATTAAAGAAGTTCAAGTCATCCAGGTCATTAGAAGCATCTTTCTTCCTACTGTCCTCTTTATTGGCTTCCACATCTTTGTCCTCAGTTCTGGCTCCACTTCTTTTGTTTGTGAGGGCCGAATTTCTTCTGTCTGGGCATCCCCTTATCTAACATAAAGTGCTTCTTCTGTTTCTTCTTGCTCATAGTAGAATCAAAAATCATCAGTAAAGTTAATTATTTAGTTGTTGTTGTTGTTTTTAACAAGGTCTGCTATTGAGTTCAGGCTGGTCTTGAGCTCACAATTTTGATTCAAATTTGAGGCTATCCTCCTACCTCAGTCTTCTCAGTGCTGGGATTACAAACATGTGCCACCACACCCAATGAGATCTCGTCCTGGACATGGCTGTAGCTCCAGTGGGCTCAAAACAGATGGGAAGTGAGACAGGTCAGCCCCAGGCCCTAGCGTCAGTGCCCGTACAACTCCTGCCAATACTCCTCCAAGCACTGTACTGTGGGCGTATGCTGATTCTTTTTTGTTTGTTTGTTTTTTTTGGTACCAGGAATCAAATTTAGGACCTTGTGCTTATGAGGCAGATGGCGGCACCACTGAGCTAAATTCCCAGCCCATATGCTGATTTTTGACTGTTCAACATCCATTCCACTTGAAGGTCTTAACAAGACTATTAAATATTAGCACTCTCAGCCCTTCAGTCACATCAACGGACAGCCACCTTGTCCAAGCTGTAACAGTGGTCACACCCTTCTGTGGCTCTTGTTCAGAGCTTTCTTTAAAAGCCTGATATTAATGGTAGTTTTGTATTCTACTTTTTTTTTTTTTTTTTTCTGACTGGAGATTTTATTAGGAAGGCAGGTTAGGGAGAGGAGAGAGGGAAGAGAGACAGAAAAGAATAGAGACAGGAGAGAGAAGGAGAGCTCGTATTCTACGTTTTTGGGAAAAGCCAGCTATGGTGGTGAGTGAAATGAATAGTAGCCTTAGTTGGAAAATCCAGAATCTTTGACTTCTCTGTCCTCTGCTCTTTTGCTCTTTAACAACTGGTGTGCCCATAGTGCACATGCAGTTGTTTTTGGTGACCAGTTCATGGTGGATGCCAAGCTGCAGGCTGGGTGGGGCCTCAGAGACAGTCTCTGCACTGCACCTGCTGCCATGCAGGAGCCAAAGGGTCCCCGTAGGCACTCCTGCTGGCCTCCTACATGACCAGGCCTGTGCTAAAGCCAGAGTCCTGGCTCAGCCCAGCTCATGGCTACCAGATCACTCTAACCTGGAGCTCCCCTTGCCCAGAGGAGAACAAGGACTTACTTACATATTTTTAAGAACATAAGAGGTGTGATTCTTTGTCTTAAGACTAGCACTAAGATACTGTTCAGATGTGGCGTGCTACAGATTCTATTATTTTTGTTATTGTTTGGTTTTTGGTTCTGGGGATTGAGCTCAGGACCCTGTACTTGCAAGGCAGGTACAGTGTCACCTGTGCTAAATCCCCAGCCCCAGATATCATTATTTTAAAAAAACTTAAACATTTGAAGGCAGATAGAAAGACAAGAATGGAGAAGTCATACATTCTTTAAATTTTGAACTGTATTTCCTTTTCTCTTCGGTTAGGGCAGTTAAAGGAGCTTGGTCTTGGATAGTTACATGCTAAGGAAGTAGGGAGAGTACACAGAGTTAGAAGCAAAGATGAAAATGAAATGATGAAATTGAAAAATATTTTTGCATTATGCAGTCTTATCAGTGCCATTCTGTGATGCAGGAAATTACCATTTGGGAAACTGAGTTCTGATTTGGAAAAGGAATGTGGAATTATATAGTGGATTCATCTGTTCAAATGGTGCTTTCTTCTTTCAATCTCAGACTTATTCTAGCTTCCCATTCCTGCTGGTTTACATGGGATTTAATTTATGAGGTAGAAAAGTGCAAAGAATAAAAAAATATAGCCATTTTCTTTGTGACGCTCAAAATTCAGCCTTTGGTCTTGAAACATACAGATCAATACAACATACATCATTCTTTCTGGTAATGAGGAAAGTCTCTGAACAATGGATGCTCCAAACCATCTGGTAGGAAAAGGACAGGAGAAAATACTAGAAAATGCATACTCGAGAGATAATAGTAAGAAATGGTACTTAGTTATTGCTTTATCTGAACCTTTGCTTATTTTTACATGTTACAACTTATAAAAAATTCTGAGTTACTTTTGTTTGCTTAGTTGCTTACCTGTGGCATACAAAGCCCTGTTGTGTTGAATTATTACTAATTTTCAAATGTTTCTCCAAAATTTTACTTCTTTATCTATGAGAGCTTTATGACTCATAACAGAAATATTTATACTACTTGTGGTTAATTAAATCAGTAACACTTGCTATTTTAGCATATCATTCTTTCCTTGAAAAATATTGTCTAAATAAGAATAAACATTTGCTTTTAATCTTTTATTTTTTCGGGTACTAAGAATTGAACTCAGGACCTTGTGCTTGAGAGGCAGGTGGCTGAACCACTGAGCTAATCCCCAGTCCTTCTTTTAATCTTTTTAAAAAGGCAATAGTTTGTTTTTGCGGTTTCTTTTTAGATACTAAGGATTCTATATTTTGTTTTGCCAGAAATCTGATTTTAAAGAATAAAATAGAAAATTTTTATTGACAAAAGTTTCTGAAAATGTGAACTTTTAACATAGAATATTGTGTGAGTGCAAGATGTTTGCTTTTCCTATTCAGTATAGTGGGACCTATTTGACCAGGCCAACTAACATGTAACTTTTCTCTAATGAATTCTGTGTGAATTTCCATAATCTGAGAGCTTATAATGCTTCCCATTTGCTTTGTAGCATCTCAATAAAGGACATTTGAAACCTGAGTGTCAGATATAAATAAGTTAGTTTTTCTGAAATGAAACCTGTTGACTTATAGTTAGTAAAACAGATTGTTTAGGGGGGTTATGTTTTTTTCCTTTCATAGAATTTCTGAATAGCCGCAGAGATCTGTCTGTATGATTATTTAGATGGAGTGTTTTACTTGCTATTAAGGAATTTACATTTTTATCTTGCTGTGCACAAATGGAATACAGGTGTGCCTAGCATGAAAATTCCAGGGTTGTAAATCAGATAAATTGGGTTAATTATCCACACTTCAAAATGATCCTTTGGTATCATAAAGAATTCTTTGTCAATGACTAAATTAGTGAGAATCTCTGTGAATTTGAAATATAATTGGGTTTGGCATGATATAGCTACTTAGGAGCACATCATCTATTAGATCAAATGTATTGAATTCTCTAGTTACAATGACTTTTCAATATCAAATGTAATATTGGTGCATATATTTCTCTTATTTTTAAAGATTTGGGGTCATATTATAGAAACTCATTCCACATTAGTAATTTCTAGTTAATTTTTTCATCGTTTATTCTGATGAAAAGAAACTTCTTTGCTTATAAACTAAGTAAAGATAAGAAAAATCTGAAATTGTTTTGTTAAAAAAGCTTCCATTATGTGGACAGCTGAGCAGCATCCTGCATAGTTCTTCAAGTAGCATATCCTAAAGGTTGGATTCAACCATTAAATTATGAGGAAGATATATTCATAGAAACTGATGTTTTTCTTCTAACCCTTATTCCTTGTATAAAAGAAAAAAACCTGGATCTTAAAAACATTTACTTTCACCTAAGTGTTTTATTTCACACATGGATTTTCTAGCTCTGTGTGATAGCTCATGTTTGTAGTCCCAGCCACTTGGCATGATTCTGTGAGTTTGAGACCAGCCTGTGCAACACAAATTGTTTGAAGAATATAGAATAGGTGAATTGGAGATGCAGCTTGACTAGCACATATGAGACCACTGACTCAGTGCAACAAACAACAACACAAAGAACAAGGGTTGGTACAGGCCAGTAGCCTTGGAAGTTATTCTCAGCTGAGTGGGACAGAAGATATCCTACAGCAGTGCTATTGGAGACGGAGCTCAGAGCAGGGACCAGGGTAATAACCTTGCCAGTTACCATCTCTCTGCACAAGACCATTAACTGCATCATCATGTATGCTTTGCTTTATAACTTTTAACCAAGAAATGATCATTAGTTTTCTAGCATGAAATTATAGACCTTGGTGTTCTTCCTCTTACTCATTTCAAAGTAAAGTCGTGACCCTCAGATTTCTAAATGGAAATTTTTAATTGTACTATCAGATATTCTCCTCTTCTATATGTTAATGCTTTGAAGTACTGTGTAACTCTTTGCGAATGTTAAATGTCTTATCAGAATGATTTAAAGTTTTTTGAAAGGAATCTAAAACCTTAATATGTACTTTGTTTAATTTCAGGGTAGTATCTACATGCCATTCTTTGGTGGTTGGGATTTTGGGCCTATATATTTTCTTCTTTGATGAGGCTACTAGAGCTGATCCACTTTGGTAAGCTGTTTTTGACCTATATTTAGAAATTGTTAATGCAAATGTCACTTATTTTAAAATATATTGATGGTATATGCTTTATTAAAGTGTATTGATGGTATATGCTTGTAGTCAGAGTTACTTCAGCAGAATACATTAAAACAATTTTAGATTTGTGTGTAAATAATAAGGGCCATTCTGCCTTATTATTGTGTTATCCAAAACAAATAGAGTATGATAAGATAAGCATTCATATAGTGTTAGTGAGTAAAGCTAAGTTATTATAACCATTGTCATGAACAAAGCTGAGACATGATTTATTGAGACAGGATAGTTGGCTGGATTAATGTCTACTTAACTTTGCCTTCAAATTTATTTTTGACCATTGTCTTGATATCAGAGAGATAACATGGGAAACATAGATGGACATGTGAGAGGAATTTCCTGTATTTCCATGAAAATCAGACCAGGTCTCTTTAGTATTTGCTTCAAATGATGCAATACGGCTTATTTTTAGGTGATATCTTATTTTTTCATGTACAGCAATGTACATTTATTCATTTATTCATGTATAAAAATCTACACTTATTTATGTACAGAAATCTGCATTTGTTCAAATACAGTCATATCATCTTCTGGAACACATCCTAACTCTCCAAACCCCACATTCTACCCTGAATTTCTTGCAACTTCATTTCCTGTAGAACCATTGGCCTCAATCTCTCATATCTAGCAACAGAACTTTCCTCAAATGAGCATTTGTTGTCCACGTAGGCTGCTTGTAGTACACTGGCAGCAAAGCTGTCAATGATTTTATTTCATGATTTCTTCTCCCAAGTCGTGAACTCTTGCAGGTGAGGCCTCACAAAGCTTCCGTTAAATTAAGTATTAATTAAAGGCTTACAAGACAGGAGTGGCAACAAAAACGATGATAGTTAAGAATGATGATCATTATATTTAAACTTCAGTAGAAAACATGTAGCTGTCACCTATAAGCCATATGCTTTAAAAAACTTTTTCTTAATGTTTACAGGGGTGATTCATCATTTGTGAAACTGAATATTGTTACTGCTTCAGGCTACCTCATTTCTGGTATGTGATATATTGTTATTCTGTTTATTTAAACTACCCATGGAATTATATGAAGATATACGTATTCTGTGCTTTTAGTTTATTTGAGAATAGCTTTTAGACTCAAGATAGAGGAGAATAATATCTGTGATGGTAGTAGAATGTGAAACTTTTTTTCTTGGCTTTCTGGTTCCCACTGAAGATCTGAGTTGTACAGTGGGACCTCCAGCTATGTAGCCCCGGACTTTTTTTTTTTTTTAATGGTTTCTCTTCTTAAGAATTTCTAACATATGATTACTGTGAGGCTAATGAAGCTTAAGCCGTAAGATTCCTCACTTGGGGCCCTGAAATATGTTCGATTGGTTATAGTTTTATACTGTTTTGGTAAAATTTACAAAAGTAAGCTCTTTTAGTTATAATCAGTTGAGGTCACTTCTCATGTTGTCTCATGCTGCATGAGGTTGGAGTAGCCTTTTTTACAGTGAGGCCAAGGGAAGATGAGAATATGCTATTTTAATTGTAATTTTAAAAGTCACTTAGACCATCTTAATAAAACGAGAGATATCAGAGCCATGATTTGGACATTTGTATAGGAACCATTTAATAAACTGTAAACTTGTAACTGAAAGAAAAGACAAATATTGTAATATGAAAAAAAGTAATAAAGAAAAGTGATGACTTCAAAAGAAAATTATGTGCCATCAAGTGTTGTAATAAAAATAATTAGATTATATGAAAAGTGATTCTAAGAGGAAGAGATAAGTTTGGAAGAGAAATAATAAATTGATTGGATTATTTGATAGTCCAATTTAAAAAGTGAATCGTGAGCACATTGGAAAAGGGTTTATTTGACAGAAAATGGTGTCATTGGCAAGGCTAGCACAGAATTTATACTATGTGCCACATACACTGATGAATGAGTGTTGTCAGTTCACAGAATATCGTCAGGAGATATTTTTCTGTTTTTTTTTTTTTTTTTTTTTTTTTTTCAGCCACAGCTTTATTTGTATTGTCAAATCAGTAGGTAAAACATTCCCCCAAAAAACTTTAGGAACTTCTACTTGAGATCAAGCCCATTTTCACAGGTTTGATATAAATAAATTCTGAGGATGATCCTTAGCATAACCAAAAACAGTATGAACAAATTCAATATCATATTATTCTCTTATCTCTGAGCAAGCTAATAAACAAATTTGAGCATCTGTTGACTTTCTGATATAATAATTTCTTTCTGTCTTAACATTTTCTGAATATAAAAGATGTTTATAGTGAAATATTTGGGAAGTGGAACAAAGTATTAAGAACAAAATAAAAATTATGCATCATTCTACTATCTATAAGTACACATAATTTCATTTTTTTATATTTCTCTGGTATACTGAATTTCTTTTTTGAAATTTTAGTTTATTAGTACATGTGTGTAGTAAATAACGTTTGCTTCCATGTGGAAAGTTGGTACATGTACATAGCACATCTCAGTTCCTTTTATTTTTTATTTTTTTTCTCAGTTCCTTTTATCATCCTCTTTCCCTTCCTCCCTCTCCTGTCCACCCATCCATTGTTCCCCGTTTTTGGGGGGGTTTTTTGTATGTGTTTGCAGTACATAATATTTACATTCCTTGTGTGTGGTTGGTGCATATACATAATGCATTGCAGTTCCTTTTACTCATCCAATATCCTTCCTGTTCCTCTTCCCTCCATCTCTTGATCCCCTTTCTCTTAGAGAAAGATTTGTCTCCCTACCTTATATTATCAGATCTTCTATGAAAGGCACTTTATTAAAATTTTCCCAAATTAGGTGACAATGCAAAAAACAATCAAGAGTAATGAAGTGAAAAAACTTTTCTAAACCAAATTGAACAAAAAGTGAATTTATTTTATGCTTTCTGGAACCTATTACAAAATCACTGTCATATAAATTGGTGACTAGAGGGGCTGGGGATTTAGCTCAGGGGTGCTGCTGCCTGCCTTGCAAGCGCAAGGTCCTGAGTTCAATCCCTGATAACAATCTGTTAATCAATCAATCAGTTGGTGACTAGAGTATACAGTTAAAATATGTAGGGAAAATAATTTGGAGAGGGTTATCAGGAAGTTAACAACTAAAAATATTCTTGATTCCACAAATTTTTATAGTATTTGGGTTCTCTTTAAAATGTGTGATTTGATTCCTCTTTTTAAATATTTGTATCTAGTTTTGTATTAGTAATTCCTGTTTTCATAAAGGAAGGTCTCTACATTGTACAGCTCTTCACCCACAAAACTTCTAGGTCCTGCCCTGGTCTTCATGCATGATAGTTTCCCTCTTTATATTTCATGTTTAACCATTTTGTAAAGAAAATGTTTGTATTAACATTTTAGCAGTTTCTGTTTTGTTAAACTTTTTCTGGATTATGATATTTAGACTTAAAACTTTTAAAAGAGAACTTGATACCTTCATCTTTTATTTGTATATGTCTTTTTAATAGTCATAGTTCTTTGTGATTTTACTATCTTGAGTAATATTGTGTTGAACTGATCTACCACCATCTTACTCATTTCCATGATTGTAGTAACAAAAATCAGCAATTTAAGTGTATTTTAAACTTCTATTTGAAAATATTTTCATTTTATATAATCCTGGAAACAAGTTACTCATTTATACTTTCATCAAATGTTATATTACATAGTGAATTCTGGGGCCTGTGCTAGGTTCTGAGGGTATAAAGATGCAGTTTCGTCCTTGTCCTGAAGGAACTTCAGTAGAGTGGGTGATTCATATATACCAGAGCAGATACTTTGAGAAAGTGGGTAATTGGACAAGCTGAGAGCTGAACAAAGTGTTATGGCCCAGAGTGGATGGTGAAGAATTAAATATACTTGAAAAGCAGTGTAGCTTTCCTCCTGTGTAATATCTTATTTATTTGTCCTTCTTACAGATTTGTTGATTCTCATTTTCTATTGGAAAGTGATTGGTGACAAATTTTTCATAATTCATCATTGTGCAGCACTGTATGCATACTGCTTTGTACTGGTGAGTGCCAGAATTTACAGTAGTAGCCTGTCAGACCACATTGTTATGCGTGCAAAATTACATTTAAATAGGTTGAAGCAATAGGAGAATCCTCCTTAGAGACTTTGTTGGAATTCCAAGACTAATTTTTCTAAGAGTTCAAGTTATCTCTCTGACTTGCCTGAGCTGATCCTGAGCTCTGGGGCTCAAACAGTTCTGCCTCAGCCTACCAAGAGGTTGTGAATTAGGCAGGCCTACTAGGCCTGGCTGAAGAGTGAAGTTAGTAGAGAAGTTTTGAAACGAATCCCAGACACTAAAGCATATTAAATTCTCCACCTAAAATTTTTTCTTCATATACAATTTCATATCCCTTGCATTTTTGTTAGCTTTCTCCATAGTAACCTGGATATCCTGTACCAACAAGCTCAAGATTTAGATTTGTAATAGGAGTGAACTAGAATTTTGTGTAATAGATATGTTATACAATTTCATATTTCCTCCTTTTTAAAACCTTGTGTAATATCTGACCTTTTTGGGCTTTTTGCTAAAATCTATATATTGGATATTTATAATTTTTAAAAATCCATATAAATATATATTAATAACATGAAGATATCTAGTGAATAAGTTAATTTGGGATCATTACAAGAATCAGATATACTAAAATATATTAAAGCACCTCTCTTATTTATGTAAAGCTACAAATTAAAGTTAATATATGTTTCAAAAACCATGATTCTTTTAATGTATACTTATGTATCAAAAGGTACCAATAATTTATTTTTTCTGAAATAATAGGCTGTTTTTTAGGGGCATTTTCTATTATTTATTCTATGTCCTCTTTTAAAATTTTTAATAGATTATGAATAGTTATGCCTACCGTTTGTAAACACTTATATTAAATAGACATACAAACCACCTAACAATATCAGTTAACTCTGGTAAGGGCATATGAGTTTAATATCATGCTTCCATTGAGAAGTATATTCTCTGAGCATGAGTTACAAATAATCAGTGTACTATGAGAAGAATAAATACAAACTGGTAACAGATAATATGTTTTTAAAAATGTGAGTAATTTGAACTGCCGTTCTGTCTTGGCCACTGAAATCACAAGACTTGGCAAATGGCTGGCTGTGCGTGGATTGGCAAGTTGAATGTTTACTCTGTGAGATGAATGCTAGTTTCACTTTGGACTTTCATGCCTTTAAAAAAAAACAGTGCATGCTGAAGTTACATTTTGAAAAATAAATTAATGGTTGTGTTATTGAGTAAGTTAATAAGTAGAAGAATCCATTGCAATTTTTTTCCAGAGATGGTTGTTACTATTTTGATATATCTTCCTATGTTTTGTTGTTTTAATGTGAAAAATTTATCTAAAGTGAATCTATTCATAGCAAACCAAAATAGAAAAAAGATGAAATGAATATTTATAGAGTTCCTATGATATTTACAGATCTTACATTTATGCATTGAATATAAAAGGGGCTTTTCCCATGCAGTGACCTCCCATCTCACTTTGAATTTTGCTATTCTAAGGCTCACTAAAAAGTATTATTATGTTCTGGAGTAAATGGTCATAAAATTATCACTTAGGAGAACTGGTATTTGGAAAGCAGTTTGACTTGATTCTTGTGAACTGTTTAAACTTTTCTTAAATGATTTTTGTGGCTGGAACTTAAAGTGAAAAGTGATGGCTAGAAACACTTTCTGTAGGTTTTAAATATATGTCTTACAACGAAAATAGTTGAATAATAAAATTATCTTGGATTTAGGGTTTTACATGTCACATTGAGGCTGTTCAGTGTCTCCGTTGAAACTTTTGTACTTCCCTCTGCTGTATTTTCTGGAGTTAAATTTTCATGGCAGAATAATTTAGAGCTTAAAGAATCCTCTTCTGCCTATGTAGAAATCCTTCAGGGTTTCCCATTGATATTCACCTTTTACCCTTAGAACAAGATACTGGTTACCAAAGAAAGCATGTTAGGCGGATCTCTTATTATGGCAAAGGAAATGAACACATTTATGCTTTGATGGAGATTTCAAGGGTAACCCACTATCCTTTGTCATCCTTACTAACTTCTCCAGTATCTTGTTTTTTCCTCCATTCCCAGTGAATTGCCTCCTCAATATTTAGTCAAACCATGCTTGTATATATATATATTTTTTTGATGTGGGGGGGTACTGGGGATGTAACTCAGGACCTTGTGATTGCGAGGCAGGCGACAGCTCCACTGAGCTAAATCCCTGGCTCACCATGCTTGTATATAATGATTTACGTTTGGAAAACATGTGAACTTGAAAATCATTAAGTGCATCTTTCTATATTATTATACTACCTTGACATCTTATCATTAAGGTGTTCTGCAATTTAGGAAGAAAATTTAGATTCAAATGGTCTTTGTGTATTTACATAAGGATACTAGGTGCAGCATAGTGCCTTAAATTAGGTGAGAAGCTCTGTTTTTGTTTAATGCTTTAGCTCAGTGTTTATGTTTTAAAAGTATTTTTGAGCAAATGTGTACAAAAGTGTGTGTACAAAGAGATATTGAAAATGAAATATTTTTAATGTCAGATCAGTGAAGCTTAATATAGTCTTTGAAAACTTCCCAGGAGTGCCTGAGATAAATGCTCACTAATATTTTATCATTGTGTACAAAAGAAAAAATATTATTTTAAAAGTATTGCCTATTTTCAACTATACTTAACTAGTGTATCTCTTTTCTTTTCAGTAGCACACCTTTTAAAAAATGTAGGTAACTGTAGTAACTGTTAGAACACCATTTCAAAAGATAACAAAATTTTGGGCCAGGGATTTAGCTCAGTGCTTCCGCTGTCTGCCTTGCAAGCACAGGTCCTAAGTTTGGTTCCCTGTATCAAAAAAACCAAACAAACAAACAAAAAAACTTTAAAATTAGCTAGGTTGATGTTAAAAATAGTCAGCTAATGTAGCTCCCAAAGCAAGATTGGATATTGAGGTCAATATGCTTTTCATTTACCACTGACCACCTAAATAATGAAAATTATTTTTAAAACATAAGTAACTTATTGAATAATCTTTTCCTCCTGAAATAAAGAATTTTTAACTTTCTTCTATACTAATGAGCAACAAACTGATAGAAGTAAGTCTTGGGAATTGTTTTACTGAGTTTCTATAACTCACTTGTAACTTCATAACTCACAGAAATCTATTTCAAATCACAAATATACAGGTGGTTTATAACTAACTCATTAATTTCAAAAATTTGAAAAAATTCTGAAGATTGTGATGATAATTGCAAAGTGAATGTACTTAATGTATTCATACTGAATAGAACATTTTAAAGGGTACCCTTGTCAAAGGGATAAATTTTTTCTTACGTACTTTACCACAATAAAAATATTTTTTAAAACAAGCTTATCAATTGACTGACAAAAATTTAGGAAGGAGAACTAATAATAGCTAATGTGTTGAACAAAGTATTACATTTTTTAAAAAAGCATACCTGGAGTAAGAGACTGAAGCAAATAGACGGAATTTAATAGTGTTAAATGTTAAACTTTGCATTAGTTTTTAATAATATGTAAGCAAAGGAATGACCTGAAGATAGGTGAACCACACTTCAGTTTACAAATTGTACATTGTATCTGCTAACAGAGCTGTTTTCAAATGAAAGATTCCGTTAGGGGAGGCACAGTATTTAATTGAAACATGTTATAGTTTGCCTGGTCAGACCACACCTAATAATAAAATTATCTGGAGTGTCTGGTATTGCATATGTTTTAGGAAAACCATTAGAGCAACTAGTTAACTAGAGAGGGGAGATTAGATTAACTGGTTTATTTTATTATTTATTAGTGGAAGGCCGAGATATTAACCTGGAAAAGATAAGAAAGAAGATATGACAACGTTAAAATATCCTAGAAATGTGGAAGGACTATTGAGTAGAAAAGGGTTATTTCAGATGTTGGAATTGGGACTACTGGGAGTTATAAAGTTTGGTGATTTTGCAGTGGAAGAGGTGGAAGGCTGGGAGTAAGGATAATGTGTCACAGGACCTGTGGGAATGAAAAGATCATTGTAGTGATTTCTGTGTTTTCCTGCAGATGTAAATGTTTGTAAGAAAATTGAGTTTTTAGAAATTTGGTGCGCAGTGAGTATAACACTTTCTAGGTGTGATTCTCCAGAGAAAGCTACTGACAATACTTTATAAACTTACAGCTTATATAAATTTCACCTATATTTTCCTATGTATATTTAAGCCTTTTTGAATTTTCTAAGAGATAGATTTTTGAGACAGGTGTGACCTAAACAGAACTTTGAAAAAATATACATACTCAGATTGGCAGAAATACGTATGAAAAGCTTCCTGGATCAGAAAACATCAGCTCTTCCTGAGATATTCAGGAGTGAGGGTGTCAGAGTATAGAATTTGCATAGGTATGGGGGATAGTGTACATCTGGATAAAAAATAAGGCAAACTGATGAATGGCACGGCAATTTCAGTTTGCTAGCTTTGAATTATTTCTTTTAATAGAATAGTTGTAGGATATTTAACAACAAAAAAAACACCCTTGATACATTACATTTGGCATATTAGAAAATTACTACTGATGATGTGCAAGGAAAAATCTTTAGTGGGGGAGGGTGTCTCCTAGGAGATTGTTGATGCAGCCATTCATGTGACTGGGGGATTCTGCAGGCTCTCTGCTAGGTGTCAGTGAGAGCTGTAGACTGGGGCATCTCAATGGGCCCTTTCTATGAGGCTTAGGCTTCTCACAGTCTGGCAAATGTGTTCTGAAAGGGAGCATTTCAGTTGTGATCATTCCAAGAGATCTGGAAGAAAGCAAGGCTTCTCATGACCTAGCTTCAAAAGACTCAGAACCTAAATTCTGCTGTACTCACTTGGTCAAGGGAATGGCAAATGGTAGCCCAGATTCAAGGGGAGAGAAGTATGATTTTACTCCTTGATTTGAGGGACATTATGCACATACAGGGAGGGAAGAAATTGATGGTGCCCACTTTGAGAGACTGTCCATCTTTTGATTTGTCAGTGTCAGATAGCAATATTAGATAACATCCGCTTGCTCTGATGGGAGGAAATTTAACTCTTGATACCTCAATTTCCCTTCCCTTCCCTTCCTTAGATGTAAATGTGATTTTGACTCCAGAGGTGATGCAGTTAACAGTGGTGAGCAGATGAGATTCATTTCAGGAAATGGCTAGCCATCTTGCTAGGCTTTCACAGTGAATGAGGCACAAGGGGAAAATATACATGTATATATGGAAGGGACAAGTACTCTAACAGACAAACTGTGAAACCTGTGGAGACACATCCAAGTGGGAGCTGAAGGGTCAAGAAAAGTTGTTCTAGAGTAAATGTAGCAGGCCCTCTTTGATAATGCCATAGGACCCAGTAAGGGCGTCTGTAAACCTTCACTAACTACAGTGAAGTGAACTAGCTTCTTTGGACATATAGAGAGCTGTAGTCAGCTCTCGCCTAGGACAGCACTTCTTATATTTGAATGCACATTGGAATAATCTAGAAGCCTGTGAAGACACAGACTGCTGTCCCAGTCCCATGGTTTCCAATTAATTATCTGGAATGAGCCTGAGAACGTGCATATCTGGCACATTCTCAAGTGATGCTGAGGCTTCTGCTCAGGAAACCACACTTAGCCACTGGGCTCCACATATGAGAACAAACCACTCTTTATGAGAAGAGGACAGAGAGTTAGGAGAAGGGCCAGGATGTTATCCATAGGTTTATTTATTTATTTATTTTTGGTTTTTTGATACAGGGTCTCACTATATAGTTGAGACTGACCTGGAGCTCACTATGTAGCCCAGGCTGGTCTCAACTCAGCAACTCAGCTCAGCAACACAGCAATCCTCTTGCCTCACCTTCCCAAGTGCTGGGATTACAGGCGTGTGCCACCACGCCCGCTGGTTCGGTTTTGTTTTTACAAAGTCAGGAGAGGTTTTACTTAAAGTGTAGAGAATTTGCACTTTGGCCAAAGTTGGATGATAAAAGCAGCATATCAAATTTACTATTTTTACTAGTAAATTTTTAACATGTAAAGAGCATATCATAAATTCACATTTTATTTGATAACTAATTCAATACTTTGGTTAATAGTTATTTTTAATTCTACACTAAGTTAAAAGTAATTGGAAGAAGTAATCTTTTAAATGCAATGCTTTAGGAATATATTTCATTAATGTTTTGTATTACATTGTTTTTAAAACTGTAATTAAGATTAAATCCATTGCTACCATACTATTTTAATATCTGAAATGACTGGGATGCCTTATGAAATATTTTAGAAGTCATAAAATACATTTCAGTAGGAGATTTCATGTTGGAAAAAATATTTAGTTGAAAGATACAGTATGTAATTTAGGAAGGATTTGGCTGACCTAAGGAACGCATTAGCTCATAATATTTTGAAGAAGTCAGGTCTGTCAAATTTTCTAAGTACACAGAATGTAATAGAGTTAAAACAACTAGTTTTTAAAAACTAGAAAAAGTTATGAGGTAAAAATATACTGGAAAAACAGTTGCCCTTAATTGAAAGAAAGACAATGTTATGAATGAATGAGAAATAAAATACATGCTTATCAAATACATGAACTCATTTGAGTTTATACTAACATTTCTAATTTCCTGGCATGGTGGTATATGACTATAATCCCACCATTCTGGGAGGCAGAGGCAGGAAGATGGCAAATTTGAGTCCAGCCTCGGTAACTTAGCAACTTAACAAGATCCTGTCTCCAAAAGAAAAAGGGAGGGGGAGGCTGAGGATGTAATTCAATGTGAAGGCCCTGAGTTTAATCCGCAGTACTGCAAAAACCAAAACCATTCAATATCATAGCCTATTAAACATAAATGTCTAGCAGAGTTAAAGGGACAGAAAAAAACCCTCATTTTTTCAGTTTATTCGTGTAGTCTTATTACTATTAATTGCTACTATTAACTATTCACTATATTTCTATATTAAAGTAATACAACCTGTGCATAAGTCTTTCCTGTCCATAGTTATGTTTTTGGACTAGTGTGGCTGTGCTGGTTGACTCTCTTACGCCCCCAGCCTCACCCCCACAAGCACATTGCCCATCTTGCTAGCTAGTTTTTCTCTTTGTCCATCCCTCCTCCCTTCTTATTTGTCATACATTCCAGTATCATCAAAGACAATGAATTTGAGATTATAAAGTTTTTAACCTTGGGAAAGCTAATTCTTGTCATCAGCTCTGAATTTTATATTTCTTGTATAAGTAACTCAGATAAATGCTAAAAATCTTCAAATTAAAAAGTTAAATTGTTATTTTTTTAATGCTTCATGTTTTCCGATTTAGCATGGTTTATCCAGTAGAAAAATAGTTTCCTACATTTTGTGTGCAGAATCTAATAAATCAGATAATTTTTTATATGTAATCGATTCTGATTTAATTGGAAGTTTATAATGACTCCTCTAGTAGAATTTTTAAAGTATAAATAAAATTCTTAGAATGTTTACTTTTGGTTTCCTTTCCAATGTTTATTAACTACTGTACTTTTCATATTAATAAATTGGTATCATGTACTAATTATATTTAAATTTAGAAAGGTACTAAAGAAGTCTGTTTTAGCTCTAGGATATCTTGATTGACAAATATTTTTAGATCAAGTATGATAGATCAGATTTGTCATGTTATAGTTGGCAAAGGTATCTTCATACATATAAATATTATGAAGAGTAATAATACTTCTGAGATTTTTAAAGTAATTCTACATAATAATGAAATATAAAAATGGGTTCCTGTTAGGTTAATTGCTATGAAATTTCTCAACTTTTGCAACTCAGACAACCATGTCATTCTATGGTAACTGAAGAATATTACTAATTATAAATTACAGAGTTGATTAGTTCAGTCTAAGACAACTGCCTGAAACCTTTTCTAAGTGAACATAATATGCCATCTCTTAAAAATACTGTAGGAATTGTAAGAACATTTCTTGTAAATTCTCATAGGGAAGAAAATCAGTAGTAAAAAGAAAAATTTTTATTCTGTTTTTATATAAATTATATATCTATTGAGTATTTCTAAAGTCTTTGGATATTTTGATAAGAATGTTATCTCTGATATTATGTCTTATGTTTATCATCCAGAAATATCAAGTACTGGGGTACATTGCAAATTTTCGACTGCTTGCAGAGCTTTCCAGCCCTTTTGTGAATCAGCGGTAGGTTACTGGTAACATTAGTTGTTTTTACATTGTGCTGTTTATTTTTAGGTTTGAGAAATGTTGACTCCTAAGATGGTAAAGCTACCATATAAAAAATGAGACCATGTGATATAAGTTATTATTGTCATTGTACAAGTGAGGAAAGTGAGTCTTAGAGAGGGTAGGGTAGCTTTCCCAGTTTTCCCTAGCTAGTCACTGATAGTGCTAGCTTTTGAAAGTAGCTATCTTTACAGTATGACTGTTTTATTATACCGGGCTCATGAGCATTCTGATTCTTCGAACTGTGTGGAGTTTTTTGTGGAAAAGAACAAATACCACTCTCATTCATCTTGGGTCTAGTTTATATTCCTGCTGATAACTTCCTTCTTTCTCTGACTTCTGATAGCAACATTATCTTAGTCTCTCATTTTAAAAATATTTTTTAAAAAAATTACAAACTATTATTTCAAATATATGCACTATCAGGAACAGCATATAATATTGCTAGGCATTGTTAGATAATTTTTAACCATCCCAGCCATTTGTAAGAGTAAATAGTAATGTCACGTATATTGATGTTGTTCTACAGCAGATCTCTAAACTTTTTCGTCTTGCAAAATTGAGATTATATTCATTAAACACTAATTCCCCCATCTCCAAGACTACTTTAGATACGTCCTATGAGTTAAATCATACTGTATTTGTCCTTTTGTGATTGGCTCATTTAGCTTAGCATAATGTCCACAAGGTCCATCAAGTTGTAGTGAGTGATAGGATTTCCTTTTCTAAAGCTTCTTACCATTCTCTTATATCTGCATACTGCATTCACTTAATCTGCTCAGCCATCCGTGGCCATTTGTACTTCTTGGCTATTGTAAATAACGCTGTGATGAACATGGGTGCACAAATACCTCTTTGAGATCCTGCTTTGAATCTTTTTGGATATATCTTCAGAAGTCAGATTGCTGAATCTTATACTACTTTTATATTAAATTTTTTGAGGAACCTTTGTATTTTTTTCCATAAGAATTACACATTTTTGGATTTCCCCCAGTAATGCACAAAGGTTCCAGTTTCTGTCTTTGTCATCGTGGCTCTGTTAATGGGTATTGAGTGATATCTCATGGTTTTGTATTTTTTTCTGTGATTTATGATGTTGAACATCTTTTCATGTATCTGTTGGCCATTTGTATATCTTCTTTAAAGAATTCCTATTGAAGTCCTTTGACATTTTAAAATTGGTTTGTTTTCAAATTGTAATATTTCTATATATTCTGAATATTAAACCTTTATCAAATATGTGATTTGAAAATATTTTCTCTCATTCATAGGTTACCTATTCACTGTATCATTGTTTCTTTTGATGCACGGAAGTATTTAATTTTGATGACGTCCCTTTTCTCTTTTGTTTTTGTTTCCTTGTGTTTGGTGTCATAACTAAGAAATCATTGCCAAATTTGGTGTCCAGAAACTTTTTACCCTCCGTCATGTATGCTGCTCCATCCTATATTTTTTCTAGGAGTTTTATACTTTAGTCCTACATTTTGATATTTAATCCATTTTGAATCAACTTTTGAATATTGTATAATGTCAGGGTCCAACTTTATTCTTTTGCAGTATGTAATGAAAAGATCATCCCTTCCCCACTGTATAGTCTTGTTTCTTGGTGCCCTTGCTAAAAAGCATTTGGGCATATATTCAAAGGTTCATTTCTGGACTTTGTATTCTGGTCCATTGCGTGTGTGTGTCTGTCTGTCTGTCTTTGTGTCAGTAACACACAGCTTGGTTACTTTAGTTTGGTAATTTGTTTTGAAATCAGGAAGTATTAGGCCTTCGACTTTGTTATCCATTTTCAAGACTGTCTTGGCTGGTCATGGTGGTGCATACATAAAGTAGTCCCACCTACTTTAGAAGTTGAAGCAGAAAAATCTTAAGTTTGAAACCAGCCTGAGCAACTTAGATCTTGTTTTAAAATTTAAAAAATGTTTTAAAAGGGGTTGGGATATAGCACAGAGTGCTTGCCTATCTTGTGTGAGGCCATAAGTTCAATCCCCTACACTGAAAATAAAAAAGATTACTTTGGCTATTCCCTTAAGAGTCCATATGAATTTTAGAGTATTTTGTTAATTTTTTGCAAAATAACACCACTGAAATTTTGATAGGGATTGTATGGAATGTGTAGATTTCATTGGAGAATATGAATATTTAAATAATCCCTCATCTTCTAATCCTTGACACAGAATATCTCCATGTAAAGTATCTTATTCTTTTTGATGCTATTGTACATGAAATTGCTTTCTTAATTTTCTTTTCAGATTGGTCATTGTTTTTATATATTAGATTTATAGAAAAGCTGTGAAGATATTTCTGAACACCCTTATATACCTCACCTTGTTAGTTTTCCCTATTGCTAACATCTTACATTATCATGAAACATTTGTCAAAACTACAAAACAGCACTGGTACATTACTATTAAGTAAACTCCAGATTTCATTTGGTTTTATCAGTTTTCCCATTAGGGTCCTCTTTCTATGCCTTACTACATTGGTTTCTCCATTTTGATCTTTTCCTGCTTTTCTTGACCTTGAGTCTTTTTTTTTTTTGGTACCAGGGATCTAATTCAGGACCTTGCACTTGCAAGGCAGGCGGTGGAACCGCTGAGCTAAATCCCCAGCCCCTTGAGTCCTTATTAAGGAGTACTGGCCAGTCTTATCATAAAAAGTTCCCCAATCTTGGTTTTTGTGATGCTTTTCTCACATAAGAATAAACTTACAGGGTCTGAGAAAGAATCCCATAGGAGAGAAGGGCTCTTCTTATCCTTGGGTAGTTGAGAGCCATATGGCATCACTGTTAATGTTTACCTTCATCGCTTGGTTAAGGTGGTGTTTACCAGGTTCCTTTACTGTCGGTTCTTTTCTTTTCCATACTCTGTTCTTTGAAAGCAAGCTGTGAAGTAAGGGAACCTTAAAGGTTATGAAGGAAAGAGGGAGTTGACTATTTTTGACAATAGACTTAATGTTGTCATTTGTCCCTTTGTCATTTAATAAGGGCTACTGATTCTTTTCCTTTGCATTGTTCAGCTGCCCCTTTGTTTCCACATCTGTGGTCCAAGTTTAGGCTGCGGGATCTTCCAACTACTACTCCTTACTGTCTGCTGTACTTGTGGTTGTTCTTAACTTCTTTCCTTTATTTTCTTATATCTTTAGTTTCTCAAAAATCTTTGTAAAACTTACTTATTGTACAAGTTTTAAGACAAAATTCCAAAAACAAGGGAAGACTTTTATGATTGATTCATTGTTTTTGTGATTCATACAGGAATAACAGAATTGGGAGTCTCAGATACATCTAAGAGTTTATCCTGTATCCAACCTTATGAATAGTTCAAGGATATTGGTAATCATGAGGCATCTAGATGTTCATGGCTATCAACATGATTCCCACATCCTTTTCACATTGAGTACACTGTGAAACAGGATTACCTATAAAGTTTCTGATGTGTGTAGTTCATGTTGCTAATATAGAAAGAACTCTCTTAGTTATGAAATGTCCCCATTTAATAGTCAGTTACATAGCTTGTGACATCTGAAGGGGGTCAAACTACATAAATCCATACCTTCCTGAGTTGTTCATCGTAAACAGTCCTAAATTATGTGCATCTTGCTAAAAGCAGCACATAGATAAAGGCTTTTCTGTTACAAGTACCATTGCAGGTCTGGCATTAGTGTGTTTACGAGACCATTAGCCTGGATCACTTGCCTTTTTTGTTGTTGTTGTTTTGGCACTAAGGGATAGGAGAAGGGATTGGTGTTTCCACCCCAAAGCAAAAAAGAAGGAATTGCAGATCTGCTTGTCAGCCTTTTCTTTGTCAGGTATTACATAAATACTACTTTGTTTGCCAGTGTTTCATGTATTTTAATTTCTTCAAAAAGATGATCAGTTCCTTGGGCTTGAGGTCATTTAAATATTTTTAGGAAATAATTTTCTGTGATCTTCCAAGACTCTGATAACATGAAAGCATACAGGAAAGAGTATATTCTTTAAAGTTATAAGACCTGAATTTAAATGTACCTTTTTCCCACTTAGCATTTTGTATGAATAGAATATGATTTAACCTCTCCAAGCCTCAGTTTTTTCACCTATAAAATTGTAGCAATGATGTGTATGGGCCTCACAGTTTGCGGTGAAGATTAAATGGACCTATGTATGTAAAACACTTGGCACAGTACTTGTCATTCAGTCTGTAGTCAGTAAGTGCTAAAAGTAGTACGTTTTCATTATGTTAAAACTTAGTAAACATTGGAAGTGCATAATTTGCATTCTCTATTTTGTCACATCTTTTTTGCTGTTTAACCCATTGTAATTAGGTTGCTTCCTCTTCTATTTTGCTGGAACTGTTTCATTAAAGGCACTGATGACTTCTAGTTTCAAAATTTAACAAACTTTTAGTGCTTGTCATATCTGTCTGTGGATTGGTTCACACCCTTTTAATGCCAGATTCTTTGTGCTTCATGACTCACCTGGTTCTCCTTGTATTTCTGTGACCATTTCCTTTCAGTCTTTTTTCATAAGGAACAGCTCCTTAAATGCTGGTATTTCCCAGGCTCTCTTCAAGCCCACTGCTCTTCTCTAAGCTTCTCCCTGGGTGACTTCTTTCCTCACAAGTTCTTCACTTCTTACCTATGCCCATCTTAGTGCAATGAATTATACATGAGTTTTGGAGTCAGACCACCTCCAGTTGCACTTCAAGTTTGCCACTTAATTGCTGTGACCTTGGACAGTCAGTTTTCTTATTGCTCAGACGCAATATCTAACACCTAGAATTTAAAGGAGGAGAGGCTTAATTCGGTCATGGTTTCAGTTCAATGACTGACTGGTTCCAAGTTGGAAACATCCTGGTGGAAGGGTGTGGCAGATCCAAGATGCTTAGTTCATGGGGGCCAGGAAGCAGAGAAGGAGAAGAGTACCAGAGAGTAATAGGCAAGCGACCATGTAGAGTACCCAAGGGACCATATAAGTATCCAACTTCTTCATCCAATGAAGTTGACATATGAAGATTAACAGTCACAATCCCACCTGTCAAATTAAGTCTCATAGCTTCGTATCTGGCATCCATGGTACACAGTGGTAAAATCTGAGTTCCAAAAGGTATGGGTGGTCCCAATCCATGGTCTTACCAGTTGGAACCCACAGGACCTTTCTCTTGTCTGGCTACATTCATGGCCTGCAGCTTTCCTTAGCAGACATTCCTGGAAGCACCAATTTCCTGAAGTCTCCACCACGTCTTTGGCTTCATTCTCCGGCTTAATGTACTATTATCTCAGGAGCTCCCTTCAGACCTTCCTTTGAAATCTTTGTGGAAGTTTTCCTGACCCCACAGTTTTGGCATTTTGCATGCCAATAAAATGAGCATTACATGGATGACACCAAGGTCTGCTGTTAGAGGAAGAAGTAGCTAGGCCACCTTAGACAATGGCAGTTGCAGCCTCTGACTGCCGGGGTGGCTGCTTATGGTGAAATTAATTCTGGGGAACCAGTTTCCTAGGAGGCCCTTCTTGAGCAGGAGTCCCAGGAATTTGCTTGTAAAAGGAAAGTTGACATTGCGTTCTTGAGCCTGCAGTGGATGGAGTCTTGATTCCTGAAATGCCCTGAAGACATCTTTCTTCATACCTGTCAGAAGACTTGTTTTCTCTTTTTTTTTTTTTTTTTGTACT